TGCCTGTTTTAAAATCTTTTCCTCCTCCCCAACAATAGTTGGGGTAGTTATATTCACCAGATAGTATTAAACTGTATTATACTACTTTATACATATTGACATGCGAATAAAATATTATTATTATTATTTGTGACAGACACGGTTTGCTGGCTAGAGATATCGATGGGGTGGTGGACACTGTTCGTGTACTGCAATGGTGTGGAGTTAAAGCAACGAAACTCATTCCCAAATGTCACATGAACAACTGCTCCGGAACGCGGTGTCATTGTGTCATTTGATTCTCGATAGGATGAACCGATAAGATGAGTAAAATGATGACATCAAAATAGTTACCAAATTGAGAGACGGCCTGCACTTCTGTGGCCTGCAGTCGACCAAGCAACGAAACAATCGACGTTTTGAAGCCAGTGAATAGACTCTGATAAGCCGATAGACGCGGTGATAGGTCAATGAAAAGTGCTAAATCAAACGCAAGCGTAACCAGCCAGAAAACACCTTCGAATACAAGAATCGTTGGCGCTGCTCTGGACAACGTTTTAGTGAATAGTCCAATGCGGCGATTGAATCTGAATTCAATTCACTTTAAAACTCCGTAAAATCACTAATCAGTACAAGGTGACCTGTTGAAAATGCAAGCAAATATCATCGAAAAAAGAATCACACACTGCTCTGTACAGACTTTCTGAATGGAGAATCTATTTGCGTTATTAGAAGTAAAACGAAATTAAGCGCAGAGAACTGAAACCTTAGGACGTTGTTGAGTTTCATGCAGGTGAGGAATACAACTGCTGAAAGCAATTGAATAAAAGAGATTTGAAGATCTCGTTGATGATCCAGTCGAATGTAACTATTACCGTTTGTTGCTGCGAACTCAGCAACTACCTAAAATCGCATAATTGTTGACGTATTGAACAATTCCCTTCAACATCGCATTTTTTTTCGCTAAAGACAACTTCATAAACAGTAAAAGTTAAAACAATAAGTACTCATCCACCTTATTAATGCCAATCTGCCGAAGAAAGTATAGATAAAGTGATGCAAGTGCACACACTGTGATTGCAAGTTCAATATAATTCCAAAACGATGATAAATAGCGACTGAAATTCATATTGCTTCTTTTAATAGATTCAGCTTCACGAAAAGCAATTTTTTTTTCACGGACTAATGCATCATTTAGTGCAGATCATTCCGTCATTCCAACCAGCATAGAATGGAGGCATCAAGATATTCCGATAAACTGATAATTTCTTACCAGAATGGTTCCGTGTTGAAATGTGATCAGCTTGAGTGAGTAAAAT